GTGTGTAAAAGATTGTCAGTTGTGTATAAACTCTATTATACATAATTCTTTCTAGAATTTTTGAAAAAACTGGAAGAACAGGTATAGGACGATAGTTATTAACATTTGTTAGATCTCCTTCTTTGAAAAAATGAAAATATGATGAAAAAATCTTAAAAGAATGTCTTTAATAATTTTGTATGAATTTTTAATTATATTGCTATTTAAATTATCAAAACTACTCACTTTGTTTGGTTTTAACATACTAAAAGCAGTTTTAAAATCAATAACATACTAAAATAACATACTAAAAGCAGTTTTAAAATCAATAACATACTAAAGTAACATACTAAAAGCAGTTTCAAATGATAATTCAAAAGAATCAAAATTAGTTGCTGCAATCGACAAGATATCAATTGTTTGTTTTTTTAAGTTTGGAATTTTTTTCGCTAAGTTAGGTCCAACTGAGACAAAAAAATTTCTTTAGTTCAGTTGCTTCTTCATGAGAATCATATGATTTCGTTAATATTTTTAAAAACGCATGCGTTTTTAAAAATTGCAATTTTTTAAAATGCATGGTTTGGATTTAGTGTTACCAGTAATTTCTCTTAGAATTTGCCATGTGCGTTTGGAATGGTTTTTGTTTTGCTTAAGTAAATTAGAATAGTATTTTTTTTTTTAGATTTTTTCTAAGTCTCTCAAAAACTTTTGAAAATAATTCTTGTAGATGGCTTTACTTTCAGTTGTCCTAGCTTTTAAATATTTAATGTATAATTTTTGTTTGACTTTTGAAAATTTTCTGTTCGTAATCCATGGCAATTTTGCACTTTTCAGTTTTAGATTTATTTTAGGTTTTGGAAAGTTTGCATCATATATTTCATAAAAAGATTTTAGGAAGTAGTTGTAAGCTAAGTTAATCTCAAATGAAGTGTTTATATTTTTCTAATAAAGCAATGACAGCTGTTTTCTAAACAATGATAACTTTGCTTCATTGTAGTTGCGTTTAAAAAAGCTTTGTTTGCCAATTGGTATTTCATTTGGTTCTATATTTATAGAGAAAAAAAGGAAATGATTGGAGATGTCACTTTTAAAACCCTTTTTTAGAGATTCATTTAAAATATTGTTATGATGTTATCTATTAGCCAAACTGTTTTTTCTTTGATTCTAATTGGTTTATCTATTAATGGGAACACTCTATTTTTGATTAAATTGTTATAAACTTTTTATTTTATGGTTGATGTGGTATTCAAAGCAATTTAAGCTGAAATCACCAATTAATTAGTTTAATTTGTTTTTTTCTTGGTCAGTTTTTTTTATAATTGTTGTAGTTAAATAATTGTTAGAATATTCAATTATGGCAGAAGGTAGGCGATAGCAACAACATGAAAATATATTTTTAGTTTTTTTTTGTTTAAAATTTCAATTGTTAAAATCTCTTTATCATCATCAGAAATACATGTCAAACCTCAACATATTGAAAATTTTCTTTTATATAAATATGCACACTGCCACCTTGCTTTTTCGCTTTACCCACTATTGATATTATTTTAAAAGCAGGCAAGTGGATATTTGAGTTAAAATTAATCAGAATCGCACCATTTCGGTTATACAAATTAAATTTTAAATGTTTTTTAAGCTTTTTAAGATTTTTTTTAATTTTAAGCTTCTTATATTAATATACAAAACATTTAAATGGTCACGCTATTTTTAATTTTAAGCTTCTTATATTAATATACAATACATTTAAATGGTCACGCTATTTTTAATTTTAAGCTTCTTATATTAATATACAAAACATTTAAATGGTCATGCTATTTTTAATTTTGAGCTTCTTATATTAATATACAAAACATTTAAATGGTCACGCTATTTTTAATTTTAAGCTTCTTATATTAATATACAAAACATTTAGATGGTCACGCTATTTTTAATTTCAAGCTTCTTATATTAATATACAAATCATTTAAATGGTCACGCTATTAGAATTCCTTTATTTCATTTGCACAGAAATAAGTGCAATTACTTTGTAATGTGCTTGCTTTAATGTATTATATGTATAATGCTATAATCTGCTTTTCTAAATTAATTTAAATCTGAGTCAGGTCTTTCATTAATAAAATAATTATTTGTTTGAATAAAATTAAATGGCGTTAATTCAAAATCATAGGCTAGAACAGAATCCATTTTAAAAGGACTCTAAAGTTCTAAAAATGTTAGAAATTCTTATTCTAAAAAATCATGTATTATCAATTTATTGTAACAACTTTTGCATATTTACCTTTAGTTCATAGCTTTCATAAACAATTTCTTTCTTACTTCCTTCTTTCTCTTGCTAATTATTAATAAAATACTTGTCTTCAAAAAAAAATTTAATTTATTTCAAATAAATTATAACTGATCATTTTAATGACCAAGCATTTGAATGACGAAGCATTTTATTGACTAAGCATTATAATATTTAAGCTTTTTATGTTAGCTCATGTAGAGTTGCAAAAAAACATGTTTTTTTCTTTTGGCGTTTTTTGGGTCAAAACTTGTTTCTTGGGGTTTTTTTGGTGTTTTTTTGTTTTTTTTGGTGTTGTATTGCTTTTTTTATCAGTTTTTTAGTTGTTTTTTTTTTACATGAATTTTGGACTAGTTTTCCTTTACTCTAGTATAATTTTAGTATTTGGCCATTAAAGGCACAATTAGATGTATAAACACCAATTTAACATAATTTTTTTATAAAAAATTTAAATTAGCTTTAAGTTAGTTATATATCTAGGCATACTGTATGAAAATGTTTATTTTTTGCTGTGTTGTACTAACAACTGTGATACTCTCATTATATATAAAAAAATTACCATTTTAATTTTGATAATGTAAATATATTAATGTATAATACCATGCAAATTTAATATCAGACTTCGAGTGCTCAAAAAAATAAGCAATCTATCAAGATTATTTACTTAATTAAGCATTTGTATATTATGTAGTAGTTAAGTCTTACATTGTTTGTTTGTTATATCAAAAAAATATATATTGTTAGTATGCCCATATTAAAAAAAAGCCCTATACTAAACTTAATTTCAAAGAAAATTTAAAAATTTTCAAATTATAATTATTTACGGATTTTCCCAGACCCCATTCACCTGATGATTCGTAATTTATTTATTTGTAATTTATTTTTTAACAGCATTTTTTTTCTAATTACATTATTTATCTAGATATTTTCATATAGCACTATATCAGAGCACTTGCAAAATTCTTTAATATGCTCTGTTTTTTAAGTTCAATTTTTAGACATAATCTTATGGCAAAAGAATCGTTTATCTTTTTCCATTTTACTAATTTGGTTCAGAGGTTTAAATAAATGGGTGACTAAGGTTTTATTTCTGCCCCCTGAATGGAGAGCCTAATCATAATTCTTTTTGTTCTTCCTGTTGATTACAAACAAGAAAAAAAAATTCACTCAATAGTTTAAAGATATCCTTTTTCTTTATATATATATATATATATATGTATGTATATATAGATATTATAGTGCTTTAAAAATCACTACTCAGTGTTGTTAATGAGATGTGGTTATTTTTTGTATTAATTTATTTTTAGATTCTAATTCAGAAAAGATTTATATAAAATTTCCCTTTATTTTAGTAATAAGTTGACCTTTTCCAATTTGAAGTTTCAAGTTTAAATGGTCCCTAAAATGTTTATTTTAGGGACCATTTAAACTTGAAACTTCAAATTGTGTATCTGGGATTAATAAATCATTTCTTTCTAACTGCTTTATTATAATCATCGTCAAAGGCCTACTTATTTATTTCCAGTAACTTCTGGGGTTTCAAGGTTCTATTCTAGGTCCTGTTTTGTTTCTTATCTACAACCCTACATCTATAGTAGCTCTTTTTGCTGATAACTCAAGTTTTAACTCCTGTCTTGACAAAAAGTCTTCTTTTTTTGATCGCTTAGAACAGGCAGCCAATTTTGAATCTGATCTTACTTCTGTAACAGATTGGGGCTCACATATTTTAGCTTATAAATTTTAAATCCAACAAAACTCAGTTATTTACTGCAAGCAACTACCACAATATTGTCGACATTCCTATATTAATAAATGGTAACCCTCTTACTGAGTCCTCTTTTTTACATCTTCTTGGAATATCATTTGCTACTAAACTTTTATGTAAACAAAATATACAATCGATTGCTAAATTAGCATCCCTTTATCATTATCGTCATTTTCTTACCCTTGATTCCATTCTCTACCTCTACAAATATCTTTTTTGTCCATGTATGGAGTGTTGTTGTCATATTTGGGCTGGTTCTTCTTATGATGCTCTTTTTCTTCTAAACAAGCTCTATCTGCTAAGCTTGAGCCTCTTTCCCATTGTCGTAAAGTTGCATCTCTTTCTCTTTTCTACAAATTCTATCATGGTGGCTGCTCAAAAGAGTTATTATTTCTAGTTCCATTAACAAAAATTCATTCTCGCTTGACTCTTTATTATGCTAGTCTCATTCATTAGTTGTTAAATTTTATTAAATATAATAAATGTAAAAAAACATTGTTTATTGTGTATATACTAAAAATAATATAGATAAAATTGAGGAAGATAAAATTATCAAAGAAGTTTTTATACAGGACTGCTTCAACCATGTTAACCTTTAAACATACCAAAACAAAAATTAATTCAGTAAATTTCAGTATTTATTGTCCTATTTAAATCAGAAATTAAAATATAAATTAAGATATTGCCATTAAAGTTAAATTTAGTAACTTAAACAATGAATTTTTGAATATTTCCCAAAAAAAACAAAAAAACGGACCCCTATGTTTTTTTTTCCAAAAAAACGACCAAAAAAACGCGTCACATCTCTAAGCTCATGATCTAGTTTCAAGAAAATATTTTTTCAGTTTCTTTGCATTTTTTGTTATCATTTTTGCTGTTATATTTTTTAATTTTGTTAAATTTTTATATATAATAATTATAATATTGGTTTTTAAAGATTCTAAAAATTTATTTTTTTAAATCAATTGTTAGTGAAACATTTGATCTTGAAGATTTTCGCCAAAATCTTTTGAAGGAAAGAGAGATTCGTCGCACTGAATTAGAGGTTTGTTGATCTTCATATTGATTGGTTATATATTGATTTAATTTAAATAAACTTGAGAAATTGTTGTAGCTTTTTTTAATCGATTTTAATTGTAATTATAGAGTGAACCATCTCTTAAAAAGTTTAAATCAAGTAATTGTATTGTTTTGGACGTGACTTACAATAGGTAGGTTTTGTGGCATTCATTTTGAAATTCATTTTGAACATTATACTATAGCGTTTTTATTGTTTAACAAAAAAATTTTTTTTTTTTTTCTTAAACTTTCTTTTTGATGTTTTTTATTAAAACTAAAATTTATAAAAAGTTTTATTTTTAAATCAAATAAATATTACTTCAGGAAGTGGTACCCAAGAACGTTAAGTCCATTACAAAAGGTCTACGACTATTGCATGTGAGTTTATTACTTTAACTACACTCAAATGAATGATTTCAATCACTATTAATGGATGATATTTTTTTTTACATAGGCGGGAAGGATTAAAACAACCTGTTCTGAAAACAGTAAGTTTTTTTTATGTGAAATAAAAGCAGTTGAGAAAGGTAAGTATTGAAAGTTTTGGCGGAGGGAGTTATCTTAATTTTATTCTGTATTTTATATTAAAAATTGTCTTCCTAGTTTTATTCTGTGTTTTATTTTGAAGTTGTCTTCTTAATGATAGTCTGTAACATTAAGAATTATTATCTTAATATTACTTGTCAAAAGTTTAAAAAAAAAACTCCATTTGAGAAAACTAAATTTCGCTCATAAAGTTAATATTATTTCAAGAAATATTATAATGTCTAGAGTTTAATATATATATATATATATATATATATATATATATATATATATATATATATATATATATATATATATATATATATATATATATATATATATATATATATATATATATATATATATATATATATATATATATATATATATATATATATATATATATATATATATATATATAGGTAGAATCATAGCAAGGCGAATAACTTCATTACTATATAACTCTTTGCCATGTGATTCGTAATACATAAATCTATAAAGTTTGCTTAAAATATTTTTTTATTTTTCTTCAACCCAATTTCTCATATAAGAAACTAAATTTTCTAACATGCTTACACTTGTCAGTGTACACTTACTGTTTTGACGAAAGCATTGAGAAAGAGGTATGAAATTCCCTTTATGATATAATTTTACATGCAGATTGGTATCAACATTGATGTTTTCAATATTAGTTGATGATTTTATATTGTTAATAATAATACGGTAATAAATAACACCACTATATACTTTCTTACTTAAAAAATTTGAGGACAAATTTGTTCTGTAAAAGCATTTATTGAACAAATATTATTTTATTTTTTGAAAACTATTGTTTCATCTAGCAATGAATAAGAGTAAGGTCTTTTTGTTGGAATCTTTTTTAAAGTTGTAAGTGTAGGAAGTAATAATAACTTTAAAAAACAATCTTTATTTGTATGAATTGTTGAAATAGGATTCGTTATAAAGTCTACTGTATTTCGTTTGCCACGTTTGATAAATTTCTCTTCAAGATAATTAATATTCCAGAGAATTTTGATGGTTTAAATTTTAATTGTGTTTATAAACTTGATCCTCCGAGAACATGAATCTATGTCTGAGGGTTAAATTGAATACTGTTTTAGTTCTAAAACTCTCTTCAGTATCGTCATTTTTTTTTGTTTTCTTTTTGTAACTGCTTCACAAGCAACTAAACAGCACTTTTTAGACATTTTATAAGACAAACAAAAAATATAAAATGAAAGTTTGCTGATTTAGATTTTAGGAGTGAGGTAAATTAGGATGTATAGGGATATGCTCAGCGGAGCGTACATACATTGATTTAAATATGAATAGACGCAGTGAGTCTACATACATCGACTAAGGGTTTGGGCAAGTAGTCTTGCAAGTAAAACGGTATTTTTTTTTCATGTTTTCGGACTTGAAGAACACCGTTGGAATAGGAGAGTCTACATTGTATTTGACCGGATTTAATTTTAACTAAAGTGTACAGGCCCGTAGCAACCAAGCGGTCAGCAGGGGCATTTGCCCTCAATAATTTTTCAAATAAATAATTTTAATGAAAATTGACTAAAAAAATGACTTTTTTTTTAAAAAAAAAAAAAAAAAGGTCCTTAAAACTATTTCGGGGCCCCTTAATCCAGCCCTGCCTCCTCCTCTCCCCCCCCCCCCCCCTTCATATAATTTTTGTTGCTACGGGCCAAGTGTAGACTTGAGTTTCAATTAAATGCCTTAAAATTAATGAGAAAAATATTAAAATTAGAGAGTTCTTTATTGGATAAACAATGATAAAAGGGGAACATAGAAAATCAATTTACAATTTAGAAAACTATTAAAAAGAAGAAATAAATTCATCTATAATAGTGGAAATAGAAAATAAAAATATAGACAATTATTATTTTATTAATTATTGCCCAACATGCGGATTTTTTTTTTTTAAAAGTTTTTATCAAATTACAAACAAGTTTATTTATTTGAAATTTAGGAAGTTTTGAATTAGTATATTATAATTTTTCAAAGTCTTAAAAAGTCAGCATCATCACAAAAACGTAATCGAACAAAAATATTGTTGTTGCCTTAATAAAGGAAATTCTTTATAAATCTGTTTTTAAATTTATTAACAGTAATTTTTGATACTTTTTGAATTTTCAGTTTCAGTAAAAGTGACTGGTTTAAAAGAGTTTCAGTAAAAGCGATTGGTTTAAAAAAGTTTCAGTAAAAGTGATTGGTTTAAAAAGTGACCAAAAATAACTTTATTCTACTTATTTGCCTAAATTCAAAAATAATAAATTAAAAACCAAATAATATTTAAAATAATAAATAAATTAAATCCATATAGTATTAAATTCTTTATAAAAAAAAAAAAAAAATTCATAACAATAATAAAAGTTATTTAAATTTAGATTTTTTAATTTAAACAACAATCTTTCTTGAAGCAACAGTTAAAAAATTTAAGATATTTGGAACTTAATAAGTTATATACATTAAAAAAAAGCACCCAATCAAATTGTTCTCAAAGTCTTGAATAGCCGATTGTAGAAGATATCTTTAATAAAGTCTTGAATAGCCGATTGTAGAAGATATCTTTAATAAAATCTTGAATAGCCGATTGTAGAAGATATCTTTAATAAAGTCTTGAATAGCCGATTGTAGAAGATATCTTTAATGCGCAATACTGAGTTGCTAGTACTTTTGGGGACGCATTCTTTTTTCGTGCTAATTTTATAAAATGTTTATTCTTTTAGGAAACGAGTACAGACAAGCTATTTAAATCTGAAATTTTAGTAGATAATGTTCTTTATACAACAAAATTATGGTAAATCAAATTATTTTATGAAATTTATTTATAATTGCTACTTTTGTTTTCATTTATATTACATATTTAAACAAAAAATTATAATTTTCTTTAAAACTTTTTATTTTATATTATTTTAGGGCAAAAAGAAAAAAATCTGCAGAACAAGGTGCTGCAATAGCATTTCTACATTATAATGGAATGCATGATGGAAGAATTAAAGAGGAATGATTTGATAAATTTTTTGGAGCGAATAAGTTAATATAACATTTAAATGCTTTCGTATAAAAAGTGTACAAATTTTTACATTAGTGGTCAGAGTCGTAAAACGGGTCGTTATTACACAGTAGGCAAAAAATCATATAAAAAACATTGGCTTCAATTTGGATGAAACAAGATAAATTAAAAGAATACACTATAAATAGAAAAAATCCCAAAATATTAGTTTGATTTGATATGTATTTCTAAAGATATTGATATTCAATGTTACATACTTAGATTAAAAATATCGGTTTTGCCTGATTGAAGGTGCTTTTTTTTTCTTTTCTTTTTTTGATGAGTTCTGCTCAGGTTATATAATCGAAGAAGAATGGGATACTATATATCACTTGAAAGCTAATCGAAATTTTTTTTGCCATTTATTAGCAATATTGTTTTAAAAAACATTAAAAGTTAACTTTGATGTAGCTGGAATAAAATTATCAAATTTCTGGTCGATACCTCATTCGGTTCATTAAATATTACTATTTAATGACAAAAATGCGTTTTGAAAACTGAATAACTCAATGACCGTAAATAGTTGTAGGTTTGTCGCGGACAAAACTGTCCACGGAGTAAGTTGTCCGGTTGGATATTTTACTCCGGAGTAGAATATCCATGTTTGCCCTATTCGTCCGTTTAGGACTATTTACTTTGGCGCAAACTGTCCTTCTCGGATTATATACTTTTCAAACTACTTAAGCGATATATTTTAGCGTTTGTTTAAACAATGGTCTGAAAGCTCGCGCATTTTTCTGCGGGCATAATGAAAGCTTAAACACTTTTTATACTATTATAATATTATTTTAGGGGCTGTTTATAAATCACGTCAACAAAATAGGGGCGTCTGAATTTTTTTGACACTTGTTGACAGGGGGAGGTCAAGACAAGTTGACATCAACAATGTTACTTTTTTTTCAATAAATTTAGTTACTTTAAAAAAGGGAAATTAGGCAGCGTTTACAGTCCTGTGTTATATACTAAACCTTCGGTTTATATATTTATAACACAGGTATACCTTCGGTATACCTGTGTTATAAACCTTCGGTATTTAATAAAGCTTTTTTATACTCCTACATTTTTAAAAACCGCGTTGTGCATTAAAAAGATCCGGCACGTACAGAACTTAATAAGCACACACAAGATACAAACAAAAAAGATTTATGTAAGTACTTTTTAAAGCGCTCCTAACATTTTTATTTTAATATCATATTAATATGATATTGAAATAAAAATGTTAGGAGCGCTTGACATCGAAAGAACCACACAAGGCTTGCAAGCCGCAGGTTGCCAACCCCTGGTATAAATTTTTAAATAATATAATGTAGACCATGTACTTACATAAAAAAATTTCTTTGCACTGTCGATTAAATATTTGTAAATTGTAACTTTTTGTTAAATGCATTTTTTGTTATACTAAACTCTATTATACTAGGGCCACTACTTTTTCTCATTTATGTTAATGATCTGCACAATGCCTCAAATTTAAAGACAGTAATGTTTGCTGATGATACAAATCTTTTTCTATCCGGTAAAAATATCATTACACTATTTAATGAAATCAACATAAATCTAATTAAAATTTCAAATTGGTTTAAGTCTAATAAACTATCAATTAACGTAGAAAAAACTAAATGGACTTAATTTCATTCAAAATCCCAAAAGAAAACATTTACCAAATAATATGCCTCAAATAAATATTGACAATGTTCAAATAAAAAAATCAAAAGTTATACATTTCCTACAGTCGTGTGCAGTAAAACAGTAGTGCGTATTTTATTTTTCTATCAACAAACTTTGAACATCAAAATATATTTTTCTATTGTTTGTTTTTTATTGTTATTGTTCATAAACTAAATGTTGTGATTATAATAGTATAAAAAAAATTTAAGAAAGATAATTGCAACACTGTATGGTTTTAAATTTCAATATTATCGATTGAAGGTCATTCGTAATTTTTTTTTAGACTGCAATAAAATAGTAGTGAAAATCATTTTTTATAAAAAGGTCAAAAAATAATTAAATTTTATTACAAAAAAATTTTTTTTTTTTGAAGCTCTACATTGGTATTTTGTGGCATGAACTTTATTTGTAATAACCGCCAAGCATCTTCGTTGCATGGAATTAATAAGATTCTGACATCGTTTGACAGTTATATTTTGCCATGCTGACTGTACTACGTCCCACAATTGATTACAACTTCTTGGATTATTTTCAGAAACTGGTTGTTTAACATCAATTCACAAGTTTTCAATCGGATTGAAGTCAGCGGATTGTGCTGGCCACTCCATCACACCGATTTTCTTCTCATTAAACCACGATTTGGCTAACTTGCTCGTATGTTTGGGATTATTATCCTTCTAAAACAAAAATTTTAACGGTATTTCTTCTTCAGCATAAGGTAGCACGATCTTCTCAAGTATTTTTACTTATACAAATCGATCCATGATACCTTCTATGCGATGTATCAGCCCAAGACAGTAGTAAGAAAAACAACCCCATATCATTATTTTTGAACCTCCATGTTTGACGGTCTTTAATGTAAATTGTGGCTTATATGCTGCACCCGTTGGTCTTCTAACATACTGTTTACGAACAAAGGAACCAAAAATTTCAATTTTGCTTTCATCAGTTCACAAAACATTTCGCCATTTTTTCTTTAGGCCAAGAAGTATGCATACGTGCAAATTTTAAACGATTTTCGATGTCTTTTACTCAAAAGCGGCACTTTTCTAAATGTTCTTGCATTTAAATTGACATGTGTTATTCGTCTTTAAATAGTTGAGGTATTAAAATTTAATTCTAGCCTTTTTTTAATTTTTCTAGAAGCAATAAATGACTTCTTTTTCGCTAACGATACAATTCGACGATCTTCTATAGCGGTAGTTGATCTTTTATTTCCACGTTTTTCTGGTTTGGGTATCCATTTTAAAGCATTACAAATTATTGTTGGTAAGCATCCAACCAGTTCTTATATTTGTTTGTAGGCTTTACTATGATTTTTAAGATTTATAATTAAATTACGAACTTCTTCAGTATAATGCTTAGAGCGCCCCATGTTTCTCTAAATTTTCAAAATTTTAGTAAGTGTATAAATCACTTATCACTAAGTGTATAAATCACTAATATTAAAATTAATTACTTACTTATTGAGAACTAATAATAATTAGAATTTAATAAGTGAAATATTACACAAAAATTAATTTTTTTACTACTACTTTAATGCACAGTCTAAAAAAAAATACGAATGTTCTTTAATCGATAATATTGAAATTTAAAACCATACAGTGCTGCAATTATCTTTCTTAAATTTTTTATACTATTATAATCACAACTTTTAGTTTATGAACAATAACGATAAAAAACAAACAATAGAAAAATAAATTTTGATGTTCAAAGTTTGTTGATAGAAAAATAAAAACACTACTATTTTATTGCACACGACTGTAGGTGTTTTCATTTTATAAATAGACATTTATTAATTCAACTTTATCCTTGCTAATTCAAACTAGTCATAAAGTTAAAGTGAGGAGGATTGGTGCACTGAAGTGTTACATTAATTTGAAATATGTTCATAATTTAAACGTGTAAGGTGTATACATTTTTGTGAACCCTTTAATCTTTATTCTTTTGTTCGGAGTAAGTTTTTGTAGTTATAAACGGGTAATATGTCCTTTAGTTAAAAGTTTTAAAGCTTTTTTCTATTCACTTTACTTTTATTTACTTTTTTCAGAGCAAGCATTTGTAATTTTAAATGGTTCTCTAAATAGCTTACTTTTAATATTTTTTTTGTTTTAGTTGTAAATTATTCTACTCAAATTATAGTGTTATTTTTTGTTGTTGTTGTTGTTGTTTTTTTGGGGGGAGGGGTAATTCAATGTTGACAAGGGGGAGGGGAAGGTAAAAACTGCCGGAAAATTGTTGACGTAATTAATAGACAGCCTCTTAATAAACGTAGTATTATACGTCCTGGAAATAAACAAATAAATACGTCCTGGAAATAAAAAAATAAACCTCAACATTTTTTATGAAAGTTTCAAAAAATGTTCATGTTCAAAAACTTTGACATATCTATTGACATATCTAGAACTTTACATTTCATGCGTGAATAGATTTTTGAATAGTTTACATGAATTTATATATTTATGCTCCTTGAGATTCAACGCCATATTGAATCTATTATGAGCCCATTCTAATTACAGTTTCGAAATATTCATAGAGATCAGAGTTTCATAATATCCACATGTTTATCAAACTTGTACTTGAAGATTTTTACACTTTTGGCGGAAATTATTTCTTCTGGTAATTTATTCCACCATTTTGCAACTCTGTAGGAAAATTTTCCCTTGATCTGTTTATTTTTATTAGCTCAATATCTACGTGTGATTTATGTCCTCTAATGTTTGCAGCTGGGCCATTTGCTGAAATAGAAATTGCTGTTTTTGGTTGTTGCTACCAAAACACTTTGTCCAAATTATGAAAAATTTTATAATATTGAATTAAATCATATCTTATTCTCCTGGTTTTTAAGGAAGTCAGTTGGAGTTTTTTTTCTTCATAGAGTAGGTGCCTTAATTCTGGAATCAATTTAGTTGCTCGTTGTTGAACACTTTCTAATTTATGTATATCATCTTTATCATAAGGGTTCCATATTGGTGACGCATATTCAAAAATAGGTCTTACAAAAATGTAGTACAAAATCTACATTATGTTTTTGTCTTTGTAAGTAAATGATTTGGTTAGTCGACTTAATCGACTATTTACTTTATTTACAACCATACTTACATGATGATTCCACTTCATAGTATTTGAAATTGACACACCAATTGACACACCAATGCCTTTATCATTAGTTTTAAAATCTAATTTTGAATCTTTTATACAATTTTCAAAATTCTTATTATGTTTTCCAAAATGCATGATTTTACATTTGTTGATATTGAAATTTATCATTCATTTTTCAGACCATTCAGTTAAATTATTAATATCGTCTTGCAAGCTTTACGAGTCTACCTGGTTGTTAACTACAGCAATAATTTTGTTATCATCTGCATAAAGTTTACATATACCATTAATTTTAGAGGGTAAATTATTGATATATAGCAAGAACAATAATGGTCCAAGAACAAAACCTTGCGGAACACCGCTCAGAACCTCTAACCAACCTGATTTTGTATCGCCAATTATGACACGTTGTTTTCTATTTGATAAATATGCTTCTACCCAATTTAGCATTTTATTTTCTATACCATAGCCACATAATT